AGTGATGAGCCCAGTTCCATTAGTTTCGGATTGTCACGACACACGCGCTGCGCAGCCCACGTGCTTTCCGAGCCGGAGAGGGAGTCGCGCCTTCTGCTTCGCATTCATATGTAAACAAGAGAGGAGAATTTGCCTACTCAATATGGCCGACTTCCGGCTTCATCGCGGCTTCACAACGAGTGACGTCAGGGCCTCTCCTTACCTTTTCCTTCCTCCGTGGTCACCACTAAAGCCCCTCGCCACAACACCCTCGCCGCACAGTGAACCTCCTTCCTTATCACCCTCTCTTTTGCCGCGCCGTTCTATGCGTGTCGCGTGGTTGATATCGTGCCATAACCCAGTTTTCTCACATTTGGAAAGTGTCGCCCACGTGCCGGATGTACTTTGCCGAATTTGCCAGCAGCCCACCGCGGCCCTCAGTCCGGCGAGCCACCTATCGGCATGCCGCAAACGAGAACATATTCAGTTCCTCCCCGTCGAGTGCTCGCTCAGTATTCCTGCCCCGTGGTGCAGTACATTGGGGCTGGGACCGCGCCTGCTAACGCGACCGCCAGTGCACTTTCTTTGACGGGACCCGGAGTGCGACATATGATCGTCATTGGTCATTGTTCATAAAATTTCACGTGAAAGCTTATATTATATTCGAAATTCATTTGAAGTTTTTAAAATAAATATACATTGCTGCACCCCGTACTATCCACCATGTCATGTCATTATTTGCTTGATATCTTAGATGCAGCGCACTACGCTGTCAGAACAGCCAGGCAAGTTGATGCTACCGCAGGGGCGCACGCAGAATTTTCTTACGGGAGGAAGGGGTGGGGGGTGGGGGCAATGCAGGCAAATGTTCATTTAGCGCTATCTATGCCATGGCGAAAAAATATTTCAAGGGGGCACGGGCCGGGTGTGCCAAGCCCTGGCTACGCACGCTTCTGTACAAAGGAGTACGTTCATTAAAGGCACGATCTTGTTTGCGTGCTATAATTGAACGTTCGCTCTTGTCATGCGCAATAAATCGAGGCTTGTGTAAACGTAGTGCGTACGCGGCACCCTCCACCAATCGCGTGGACGAGCATTGTGTTAGAGAGTTTCAGTGCCGCTATACTTCTAAATTGTCAGCGCGCGCACGCTGTCACGATCCTTTGTACTCACCACCGCCCCTTTGGAGAATATAAAGGAACACAAGGACTCACGTACGCAAGCCGCCTGGGGCCCCAGCACTAAAACTCTGTGAAGCCTCATATAAGGCAATGAATGTCCAATGAACGTCCGGTAATTTCAGCGATATTCCCAGGTACGTCCATAGTACGTACTGAAAAGGCTGGCTGCAGATCCGTCCTGTGTCTGAACCAACGTTTTTAGAGTGTCTAAAAACGTTGGTCCAAACGTACGGTTTTTGTCACATATTGGAAGTTCAACGAATTGACAACTTTTTTCCGCATAGGGGTTCTACAGACGACTGCAGTGCAGCTGGCGAATTTCTGTGGATCTCCGTCGGACGTATGTATGTCCAAAACTGGCATACCGGTAGATGTCCACCGGATTTTTGTGACCCATTGGGTTCTTACGAGCGCCTGGTTTGTTGGACGATGGCTCCTACAACGGGGGCCCACTAACAAAATGAGATCCGCTGGACCCGGAGTCGCAACAAACTGGAGTCCTAGGAGCAAAAGTGCCGCAAAAAATGCTACATATATAAAACTATGATAAATATGCAGAAACTTCGATTCAAAGAAATAGAACTGCAAAATGGAGAGGGGGTTCAACTTCAATTTTTATTTCAGCAACTGAGTTTTTTTTTCTTGAGCTCCTAATGCAATCTGAAAATGGAAATGTTGCAATTGCTATATTTATTTCAGCGAACTTTCACATTAACGAACTTTTTCCTGGGGTCCCTTCAAGTTCGTTTAAGTGAAGTTTCACTGTAATTGTTATCGCAATAAAATTCGTGAACAAGGGGTGTCGCATCTGCTTTTCGTGGTTCTTGACAAGGATACTGCTCGCTTTGCTCTAGCTCGTACAAAAGGACCCCTGACACCAAATTTGGATACTCGGAATGCTAGTGTTGTTTGATAGTCCTGCATGTGGGGCCACCTCATACACATTATTAGTGGCGAACGTTGTCTACAAGATATTTTGATTTGGTTTTAAATTACTGCATGCTCGTCCGAGTATTCGGGTGCAATCGACATTTTCGGTGGTTTGCCGTAGACGGGGGATGCCCTTGTGACGTTGCAGAGGTCAATAACATTTGCGGGGCGCGTCGCGCGCACAATACCCCGACAAGCACCCGGTGAGGACTTTTGTTCATCACCCCTCTCGCTTATGTTGTCGGGCTGTTCTCGAGGCGGCTGCTTACGCCAGGAATGCTTTCCTTATTTCTGAGGGGACACGCACAAAGCACCCACATCGTTTCATTCTTCACCGCCCATGGGTCCCTCTGTTTGAAAACAGTGTGTTTCAGTGTCATCGAAGCTTGAACGCACGTAGTCTCAGACGCTGCTCCGCTGTGGGGCGCTAGTTTCTTATTTAGGCAGACGTTTTAAACTGACGCAATATCGTTCTGAATAAACGTTGATTATAGAATGCGTCACAGCAATAACGATCTAATTTCGGCATTGCCAAACAAACCAACAAATTACTGTAAAAAATTCGCTACCAAGCTTCTGCTGTCAGGGGTTCTTTTGAGGGGCCTGCAACAATTTTTGGGCGTGGTCAGAAAACGCTGTAAATCGATATTCAAGGCTCTCTAGAACACACGAGCCAAACATTATAACGCGGCCTAGAATTTACAATTAATTCTCCGTCAGCTAGAAATCGCAACCTCTTCTCTCCACAAATGATGCCATATACCCAAATTTCTGCGCCATATACCCACGTCCACGGCGGTTTCAGGATCGTCAGCTGCGCAGTTACCGGGGCAACCTCGAGATGCCACCCCATGCCCACGCTCGCGATCACACTGCAAGCTGCGCGTTCGAAGCCAGGGAAAAAAATTGCTCAAGGTCACGACGCGCGCCGACGTATGGGCGCATGTTCATGCCCCCTCGTCACCCGCCTCCCTGTGTAGTTTTCAGCAGGATCACTGGCACGAATGAAGAGAAAGCTATTGAAGCGTGGGACAAATACATGCAACTATGCGACATTATGAGCGTCCCTTTAATAATGGGGCCGTGACCTGTGTGCCACTGAACTAAAAAAAAAACGCATTTTGCTATCTTTCTATAAAGCCTGATGCTTAGTCTACTACAAATAAATATTTCAAATAAAAAAAACCCATGAGTTGACAGCTCAACTTTCTACAGCTTACAGCAGAGTAACCTCAGTTTTCATATTTATTTTGGTTTTTTCTCCCCATTTTTTCACCACTAATCTGCCACCAATCTTATAACTGTTTTTTTTATTTATTTCTATCACGGACATGTTTACCTCCCCAATATTGTCTGTAAGACCCAAGGCTCCACGTAGGCTCGTGCACCAGGGTGGGTATTTCACATTCCATCAAAACACACTGCGACTTTTTTTTAGCTTCCCCACAGCAGGTGCGTTCTTCTTCTCCTTTACAGAATCTCACTTCACGTCTTCCGAGGCAACCTGACCTCGCTTTAAAGCGCTTCCCTTTGAGTTGCAAGATGCCCGCCTCCTTATTTAACCTTTATCCATACAAGTGTGAAGCACCCTCTTCTGACAAGTTAATGATGCATGCAGACCTAGCATGCAGAAAAAGAAGACAAAAAATGAACAATTCACCAGGTGGCGTGTGCACAAGCATGGCACAGTTGCCAGAGCAGTTTCAGACCATAAGACTCAGACGTCTTGTTCTGGTGTGCTGTTTCTACAAATGTACAAAGCTAGCCATACTGTAGAGGCAGCAGAAAAAAGGATAGATGCTGTATTTGCACCTTTTCTTCACTATGAACTGAGAGACATGCCATTATTTTGCATTATATGAATTCCGTTTGTCACAAATCATGTGGCAGAGAACTATGAGACAGAATAAAAGCAGCCAGCCATATGAGCTGTGTTTTATTCATGTTTGTAAGAAGTGTGCACAACACAACAAATGACACCGCTGTAACACACAAAAAGAGTGTTCAGTCTTCACAATTACAAGAAAAAAGAAGAGTATCAAAATGTATTTGTGGCACATACAAAACCTCAAGCATTGCTAGCACACCCTAACAAACATATGTAGTCATAATAAAAGAGAAATTAATCATGAACTTCTTGAAGTTCACCTCATCTAAAGGGTGTCCCACGTAACTTTAGCCAGAGTTTAAAATATGCCGGAACACGTAGTTACGACGTGACCAAATGCATGTTGCTCACCACTGCCTGGACTTAGTCAAACTACTTTTTGCCTTCTCAAATATTGTTTAATTAGATCTGTTTAATGAACTAACTTTTGAAGGAACAAAGATGGATAAAAAATTTCAATAAAGAAAGTTGTAGATCGGCTTGCAAAACGTCCAAATAGATAGTTTTGAACTTTATATCTGTTAGATATTAGTGTTTTCAGCTAATAACAAATGCACGCAAAATACAAAATAATACTACCAGACAAACCCACTCGTGCGTCAGTGCGCACGATGATTCTAGTGCTCTCTAACGTTCCGTGTACGAACGACACCCTTCCCTCACACCAGTTCCTGACAGCGATAAGCAGTCACAGCGGTTATCTTTCCGTTTTTGTGGCCGATAGCAAAATGTGTTCATCGTAAAGCCACCACCATATTTGCGGCCCTGCCGAGACAGCACAATGGGAAAAATACTATGGTTCTTCGTACGCGGAACGTTAGGGAGCACTAGAATCATTGTGCGTACTGGCGCACGAGCAGGTTTGTCACGTGGTATTTTTTGTATTTTGCGTGCATTTGTCATCAGCAGAAAAACACCAATACTTAACAGATATAAAGTTAAAAACTATCTATTTGGACGTTTCGCAAGCTGATCTACAACTTTCTCATTGAAATTTTTTATCCATCTTTGTTCCTTTAAAAGTTAGTTAATTAAACAGATCTGATTAAACAATATTTGAGAACACAAAAAATAGTCTAAGTCCAGGCAGCGGTGAGCAATATGCATTTAGTCGCGTCGTGATTAAGTGTTCCGGCATATTTTTAAACTCTGGCTAAAGATACCTGGGACACACTGTATAACAGTGCAGTCAGACTTATTACACAAATGGTATGGTGTCAAGAATGCAGACACCAAAAAAAAAGAAAGAAAGATCCGAGAACAGACACTAGTACACTCAATAACATGTACACTAACAATGTTTGTAAAGCCTACACATAATGAAGCCTTCCAAGTAGAGCTCACTGTAAAGTATCTCTTGACTACAGTTAAGGCACTCGTTGGCATTACATTGTTATGATTGAGATACATTGATCACTACACATAGCTGAATAAGAGAATACATTATTAGAGAATAAATACTGAATCACGCACTTAACTTGACGATGCCACAATGTGACATTGTTGTACACAATTGCTAGGAGCACACATTATCCAATGGCAAGTAATAAGTCACACATAAAAACACAAATATTTTTTACATATTTACAGTGTGCATGCATAAAAGCACTAGGGCACAAATAAAGAATGGTTCCTTGTATAAGAAGACGCAGAACTGGCAGCCGACCAGCAAACTAAGCCTCTGACTATGTATAGAAGATCAACGCCACCACCTTCAAGTAAGCACGCTTTTGTATCTTTATTCCCACACCAGAAAGCTTTTTCTCTTCTGGTTTCATAACTAAGTAACTATGAAAGCTGCATGAGCAAAGGGATTACGCTGAAGAATTCCAGTCTGCTTTACTGCTAGAGGAGAAACTGGTTCATACATACACTAGGCATTGCCATCAATACATTTTGCCCTAATAACATAGGCCCTACACTTTTAACATTGTTACAACTTTTGTAGATAGAAATAACAGCAAAGCTGCCTGCTGTGGTATGTGAAGCTAAAGCTTAGCTCGCACAATATCACTGTGGTGAATGATCTCATATTTTATGAGTAGCAAGACAGTACTAAGAATGCTTAGTATAGGTAACTCAGGCAGACCACATTAAAACCAAGTCTGCCAGATTACTTTACCTGTTGAATAATGGGGCAAAAACTTCACAAAACAATGTAGCATCTGCATGAAACAGAAGGCCATGCATTTACTGATGCCTTATTGCTAATTTTTCGTACATATGCCTTGTGGTAAATTGCTCAAAGAATAACAATAATAATATGAAAGCATGCTTTCAGCTGTAACTGACATTCAAAGAATTTCGACTTACCTAAGTTTCATTCTAGCCTCTAGATTTAGTTTCAATGCAAGCAAACCTGCTTGTCCAAACTATATACAATGTCTCACTTCCAAGATTGCAAAGACAACCTTTATGATAATTGCAGAGGCTGGCATAGCAGTCTAAACTGGCTTTTAGCTCTTGGCATAGCACAGTGCCAGTAATATCCTTTTGCCCAAGCATAGATGTCTGCTCTGCACCAAATTACAAAACAGCCTATGTGGGAAGCATACTTTAAAACATACACACATCATGCGGCAATAACAAATGGATGTTGAAGCTACTACTAAAATCTCAGGCACCACACATAAATGAAACAACCAGGAAGTGTTTCTATGCTTTTACATAGCACCACAGTTCGTCATGCTGGGTAATCACGGTTGTTTTCATACACGTCAATACAGTTCCTAGTTTTGCTGATGATTGCAGGCACTAGAAGCTAAGAGCTACGTTTAATAATTTGAGAAAAACCCTCAACCAACATCAAGGTTCTGTACAACTGAGAACATCACACCACATGTTTAAATACTTGTACAGTAAACTCTCAGTAAACGGAACCTGAAGGGACCGGGAAAATATGTTCCATTTAACAGGAGTTCTGTTTACTAAGAGAAGAACATAGGTGCAGAATACAAGCCCGAAACCAAGCATAGCCGTAGAAATATTTCCGTTTAAGCAGTATTCTGTTTACCATATTTCCATTTACTGAGAGTCTACTGTATTGATTGATATGTGGGGTTTAACATCCCAAAACCACTATATGATTATGAGAGACGCCAGAGTCTACTGTATTATGCAAAATCACAAGTTTCAACCGAATGTTTATGAAACTGAAACATCTATAAATTTATATTGTGCATGCATGAGTGTATGCAGAACACTCCGTGTAACTTGTATTAGTCAATTATGTGGAGCACGAATGTGAAAAAGGAGGACCTGTCCCCAACGGTGCCAGCACAAATGGGCGATCAAATGATGTAGCCGAAAAATAAAGTGCAGGAATACTAAGCACGGAAATATAACAACCAGTAGCAATAACACAAGCAAAAGGTATCACGATGTGCCAGGACCATTTAAACCAGACGATGTTGGCAAGAGACAGGTTTCGTTGTGCAGAGTATTAGGACATTACTTATTAATGCCATAAAATGAGTTTCCCATCCTTACCTCAGCTTTATGTTGGAGTGTCAAGAAAAGAAGAAAAATAAGAGATAATGCAATGCTGATTTTTGGCAGCAAATACTGTGTATGAGATCCTCAGAGACAGCAAAGAAAAAAAGAACTAACTTTCCGCAGAAACCAGGGTAATGCTGCAATGAAATCTGGTGCTGGTTCTGAATGTAAGAAGTGCCATCACATTGGTTGAATTATTTGCTAGCAACTTTGAAAGATTTCTGGCATAATACTTTAAAGCAAAATATTAGTAAGTAGTTAAGTACATAACTATGTACTTTGAGGTATCTCATAGTGGTAGACTGAACATGGTTCTTTCTTCACATCCTACTCAGCAGCAGCATGCCATGTAGCCAAAGAACCACTGGTGAGTAAGCCACCATCTCCTCAATACTGAATTTCAAGTCACACGCTCATGTCCTTCCACCCAGTCTCTCAACCCCTTGTTACAGCATGCTTGTACATTCTGCACAAAAACATGCCATCAAATGCACATGCACCATGACTGTCATGTTTGCACTGAATTTGCTCCCTGTATAATGTAACATTTTACTCCATTAAACTTCTTGCAACAAAAACTAGCAAGCCAGAATTTTGATCTATACTGGCATTGTCATGTAGAATTGAAAATTATTTGCAAAGCTTCTTGTAGCACGCAAGTTCAATGGCAGAGAAACTTACTTTATGAACACTCCTGCCGTAGTGTATGTGTGTAAGATTATATATACATATATATCAGGGGAAAGGGGGACGGCAAAAATTTTACACCAGTATCTCGGTAGAAGGCTTGCAATGCACTAGTACCAAAAAGTTTCATAATAGGTGAAAACTACACAATGCAGACCTTGCATGTAAAGTCTTAAAGTGTTAGCTTTCACAGAAGCTGTTTGTGTTGAACAAGGCACTATTTGAGGTTGCAATAATAGCTTCATAAATTATGCTTAAATTTAACCTGTTTCATAAAATTAGGCCCCATAACAAACATGTATTTAGGTACGATATGTCATTTAAATATGTTGCAATACTTCATCTCTACATAATACTGAATCAGTTAAAGAGAACTCCACAGTATTAATTCTGCAGCATTCGATTCATGAGAAGTTTTTTCAAAAAAGTTGTTTACAATATGAACGCTAGGCTCGTGATCAGATGTAACAAAGTGCTAGTCTTATTATTAAATAGTCTCAAAGCATTATCTCCAATGGTGACTAAGTAGAATAGAAAATAACCTGTGTTTACTCGGTCACCAGTCCTTTTCATTCAGTATGTGAGTTGACATGTAATGCTAAGGTTTCATCATGAACAGTGGTGGCAGTTAAAATAGGAATGTGACTATTGTTCATTGTACATAAGAAGAGGATTCAGTCATGAAAACCTGTGACAGTCAAGCGCAGCTGAAAAATAAAGGCAGATCTCAGGGTGTCTTACGCTTATGAAGACAAGAATTCCTTTTGCTAGCATGTGTTTTTTTACTTCTTTTACGGTTGTTCGACAACAAGCTTGTGCTATTTCAAACATTGTACATGATTGTCAAAAGTCATAAGGGCATTCAGGCCAACAAAAAGTAAAGTCTTCTCATTACAGGTGCTTTAACAGCTACATTTTCATATAAATAATTCACAAGCATACCAAAAACAAACACAAATAAGGTGATCCAAAACAATTAACACTCATAAAAGCTGTAGCCTCCAATGACCTCTATGCAATAGTTCAGACGTACCACCAACTTCAAGTCCAGTCACACACAAAATGTTTGACACTTCCCAAGCTGTTCAACTTACTTGGCAGCAGTAAAGTCAATATAACCTAGGTGGTAAGCAAAGTGATGGCTATAAGAATTGATTAAAGCCTCTCAGAGTAAAGGCTATTTTAACACTTCACATAAAAAAAATATTGGTCACAACAAACCATGCTAGTGATAATATTAAATGATAATGTAATACCATCACTCAATCAATGTCCATTCAGTAGCATCGTTTACAGGTGTACTAATATGCATTTAACCACAATTTCATAAATCTGCAGCCTCAAAACTAGCATGATGCACGATGGCTTTGCCCTGTTCACAAGTGAATTTCCCCAGGACACAACTTCCGCTGGTGCACACACATTCACCATGCACATATAAAAGAAGGTACAACTGCTTGGCAAAAGTGCTTTCGTGTGGTTCACAAAACACAATTTTTGTCTCACAGTTGTGACATTGCATTTATTGCACCATTAAAGAACGCAGCTACTTCAGGCAGTCAAAACTGCTTACTGATCTGGGTTAAAATTTTATTGTGGCATCAGGCACTAGATTTTAAGCAATATCAAGTTTGTAATGTAGTTCACCTAAAAAAATATTCGAATGTATTGTATGTGTCTGCAGTGAGACATGATGAGCAGATCACACTGGGCCTACTGCCTGTATGCCCAGCACAGCCGTGCCTACAAATTAAATTAAGAGCTGGCCCAAGTATTGCCTCTATAATAGACAGCACATTAATCACTTCACCAAAAAAATTATACACTTTAGGTTACCTATGTCACAGCATACTTTGATTTTATGAGTGGAGTGCTGAAATACTTTCATAATACTAAACACTTCATTTAAAATCTTTCACTCTCTGTCATATTTCTATGCAGTTTGATTTCAAAGTAGTAAAGTTTGCACAAGAAGCATTTGTCATTATGAAAATCAGATGCATTTAAAAAAAAGCAGCCACATTTCTACACACCCTCCCAGGTGATGATGCAATTGGTGCAGTTGTATGCATCAGCTTGGCTGAAGCAAAATAGTAGGGTGTTTGACACTTCCCTCTTTCTTGTCTATAGATGAACTCGCTGTTGACATTGTGCAAATGTAAGAAGTCATAATCAGTGGTATCACAACATCTCTGTGCAGCAACAGGACATCATATTGCTACTAAAGAGTGACAGAATAATTTCTCTAGCACAAAGCTGGTCCCAATAACAACAATGTGGTTTAAATACTGCCTATAAAGTAGGCACAAAGTAGGTCCTCTAAGGGTTAAATTAAAACCCCACAAGCAAATTCCTAGCATAGATAATGCTTACTATAATATCTTTTTTTTTTACTGAAATTGGTGAAATACAAAAAATTACCTCAAACTAACTGGTATTTTTTAAAATTTTCTGAGAGTCAAGCATTTGAAATACTGTGTTTCATACAAGTTCCAGTAAAAAAAAAAAAAAAAACTCACCATCAAGACACTGACACTACTTTCACAGCATTCAGCTCAAGCACATCTACACAGAAAAGCATGACCACGAAATTCTCAGTTGTATAAAATTACTGCAGCTTGGACAATGTACAATGTGTGTTACAGCTAAATTAAATGCCCAGGTGAAGCTGCAAATAGCTGCACTCTTGCATGAGAGGTATTCACATTAGGCAATGGCATGAACACTGAAAAATGCCTAATACAGCAACATGCACAGCAGGCAAAAGATATGGCAGTAGAAAATGGCATTGAAACCAATAAAGGTCATCATGGCATTATCACTGCTTTTTGTGCATAAACACCCAAAAGCATAGCCAACAATATCTATAAGCACACATGTGAAAAAAACCATTCACCATTATAACATTTGTGAATGTGAGTAGACAAAGAAAAGCTAGGTATTACTTTCAATTAATCACCTCAGAAAATTCACTATATACAGCCTCGATTTTCTATATTTATCCTGAAAATTAAAGCTGCTGAAGATCAGACCATAGAAAAAGCATAGAGCATATTGTGGTTGCATTGTAGCATATGTGTTGGCCGGTTCTAAATCAATATTCTTCAGATGCAGCATATAATAAGCAGTTAAAACATTGGTAAGGCATACACTGAGACAGAACATTTTCACCTCATAGTTGGGTAGCTTCTGAATGACATAGCATCCAGTGCAGGAGCCCGATTGGATTCCTGCCATTCATATATACGTTGATGGCTGTAAAGAAGAAAAAAATAAAGTAAGCAAATAGCATGTATTTTTTTTTTCCCAGAGGAACAGCATTTGAATGGCAGTTAGAAATACTTTTAGGCAAGATAAGGACATCCAAATATTCTCTCACAGCATTTCACTATCCCAGGAGATATATGTAGACTATTTTAAAACTGAAACAGAGCTTCTATCACAAAGTGAACGTTTTCACATTTTTTCACTCACAAAACTCGGACTTAGCATGTGAACCAGACTCTAATTTTTGTGGCAATCTACAAAAAATTCGATACTACTGAGAATGTGTACCCAATTTAGGCACGTATATGAATAGACCACGCGTTTTTTGAAATAATCACGTGTATTTCAAGCACAACGTACAATGTGTTTTTTCTTTTCTTTTTTAAAGTAAAAATGGCGAAATGCTGACAGGCTCTTGCGAGATGGCCACACAAGATCTTCACAGATGATTCATCTCTACTGAGCTTGGACTCACCAGTTCAGATTTGGCATGTTGGGAAAACCCAACAACAGGCCAGAAAACGTAGAGCAAGCAAGCTATGAATCCCTCTAACTATATTTAAATAAATATATTGCTGTTTCAAAACCACTCTTGAAGAAAAAGTTTCCAGACAAAATGTTTGAAACAAGTTTAGTAATGTAAAGAATGCAAGTGAGGTAAGCTTGCTGTCATAACCACCCACAACATTTATCTGTTACATGCAGATGCCATTATTACCAGTACCTTCGGGAGGCATCAGCTTGCATTAAAACCTCAATGTAAAATCACTCCCCTCCTCACTATTTTACCTTTATTTATTTTAAACTTTTCTAAGCAGAGAATTTGATCTCCACGCAACTGTCAACTCTCGGAAATAGTCCTCACACATTGCAAGCCCAGAGTGATCACTACAATGTTCATTAGAGTATCTTAGTGAATGGTGAGACAAATGATCAAGACAAAGTAGAGTGCATAAAGCTTCCCCGACATTTATGCGTGTACATGATCAAGCCGACCATAACCACATGGAGACGATTTCTCATTCACAACAGCCTGACCTGTCGAGGTGTCATTCATAAAAAAACACTGCTACTATTGGTATATATATTTTTATAGTTAACATACCTTGGAAGAGATATCATGGACACTGCTGGACTGAAAAGCAACAAAAGTAACCATCAGTTTGCAGTCAAAATCCTGTAATGTGGAAGAACTACAGTCTATATTTGACCTAAAACAGGTGTGATATGTCTTTCATTGAGCTCCAACTCTACAACTGGTGCTCAATGCTATTTTATGACATTGCAAACTCTGTCTAGAAATCAAATGGCTTAATAATAAATTATCCATTTATTGTGCTTTAATGCAGTTTCATGGCATTGTGAACTCTTGTGTAAATATCTATCGGCTTAAAGGGGTGGTGCCATCAAGTTTCGAGACTAAAACAAGCCTCTTGTGGGTTTCCTTTGTATGCTAGGACACTTCACATGAACAATCGGACACATCAAATGTTTTTTCACCACATTTTATTCATCTTCAAAGTATACCTAAATGCTAATTCTCCCGACCAAAGCCCATTGCAAGTGCGTCCATAACTGTGGTAGCTCTGTAGGAAGGGCGACGAAAGTAGCAGTGACATCATACCAGACCTGTAGCGAATGTAGGCGTGCGCAGGTTTCCCCTTCACGGCAAATGAAAGTTTATCGCAGCACACCCCCTCCTTATTATGCCAATGTGTGAAGCTGTGTTTGCACACCTCACCCCTTTGGTGACTAAGGGAGTGGCTGCCCCCTTACCGCCCTCTTGTGTGCACACCTATTGTAGTGAGGTGAGTCACCTTCGGTAACCTCCGCTGCGTACGTACAGGGCCCGGCAAAGTGTCGCGGCTGCTAAACGCTCGTTTTGTAGGTGCTTGTGCGGCACGTGTGTGCGAGAAAGCCAGCGAGGGCAGACGATAATCAGCACGACATGTGTCACAGCCTTGTGTGGCCACGTGATCAAGCCACACTTCCATGTCACAGCCCAATTCGGCGCCCAGAAACTGAAACCGAAAACTGTTGATTGATTGATACGTGGGGTTTAACGTCCCAAAACCACCATTTGATTATGAGAGACGCCGTAGTGGAGGGCTCCGGAAATTTCGAACCGAAAACTGTCCACATAGAAAAGATGACATCAATTTATTTTGCGAGAATAAATTAATCTTGATGCATGTATCACGCTTCCTGAAGCTATAAAAAACGATTGCAGCAAAGAACGCGTAAGCCTCAGAAATGGTGACACCAGCCGTTTAACAGATTTTCTATGTATTGTGATCTATATTGGCGCATTCTGCAGTGAAGAAAAAGTTTCACTAGAACACAAATATAATTCCCCGCACATTTTGCATATTTATTTCTCAAAACTGTCCCGATACAGACAATATTCAATGAACAAGCATGATCAGCGCACTTTCTTGGGAATTCAATTCTGCAATTGCAACTCGAACCCTAGTGTAGTGTTTATATTACGAGATACCTGCCACAAAAATGAGGTGCTACAAAAAAACTTAAATTCTAGCTGCGCTATCTTTATTAACCCATCATGTCTTCCTTGAAACACCTAGGTATAATAAATAATAAATTAATAAATAATAAATATAATAATTGTTATATTTGGGTTCATAATATCAAGGTTTTATTGTACTATCAAATGCTGACCTCACACATCAAAAGGCCCGTGTAGCTCCAATTTGTAAATAAGCACATCATATGAAGGACAAAGATACAAACAAACAGAAGCCTTATGTTTCTTCATCTACACTTCCTACTGTTCTGGCTAAAAATGTGCAGGGGGTGTTGAAAGAAATGCAAACAGCATGGAGCGATGTTTTCATTATGATACAACCTTGGAGGCAATAAAATGATGCTAGAGTGGTCCTAGAATGTATCATGAATGGCTCTCATAGCTTTTTATTACCATACAGGCTACAACTGCTTGAAGAGAAATGCAAAACAGCACAGAATGTAGATGTCCCCTATTCAAGTATCTCTCCATCGGCCCGATACTCAGGTGATCAAGGTCAGGAGCGAACAAAGTTACAATACTTTCATATGTATAAAGGAACTGTCATGTAAGTGACAGCACATCTCTGAATAAGGCAGCGAAATCTCTTTTTCAGGGCAACCAAATACAAATGATTGTTTGCTTACCACTTTTAGCACGTACAATGCAAAGTAAAACAGTTTTAATGAGTTTTATGACCAAGGTAAGCCAATTCCTGAGAACTTCACTAGGAATAGTGCATTTGACTAATATGTATTTTAACCATGTCCAACAATAATGTGTTTTGTCAAAGGAATGGGGTATATATCATTAACACAAGTTCGAGTAAAAGTATGGCAGTCAAAAAAATGAATGCTGCAGATTTTTCTTATAAAAGTCACCAGTAATTAATACTATACGACCTCATGTTGCTGTCCTTCAATTTACTCTGTGTCAAAGTAACCAAGGCATGAATTGTTTCACCACTTTCAGAACTTGTACGACTATTAAAAGAAACTTACGTCTGCTCACAAAGTCGTCTCGGACCACGCTCTGAAAGCAAAAGGAAGATTAGGACAATGTTACAAACATAAAAATATTCAAGCATACTCATACTTCTTGTGCTGCACTTCTACAAAAAAAACCTTGCACATGTCTATTTTTTTCCCAACAGTGTTTTTACGAAATTTTCCGGCAAAAAAAAAGTGAACTCTACTGTCATGAGAACTTATATGTTTGTGAAAGACTTGTTTCAGTTAAAAGTTGTACACGATATACAAGCACTATCACTTGAATCAGTGACAGCGTTGGTGTTTCAATGAAAAAGTGCCATGTTTTATATCACATATGCATGTATGTAATGTCAAGCTTCCAGAACTATAAGCATAATGCTCTGAAGAAAAATGCTTTTATAAAATAAGCCTAATGTACTAACAAGTTTATTTATCAAGTACCTACTTATTGGAGGGCTGTGTTTAATACACAAAAGGTACAAGTTATTAAATGAAAATGCACCAGTAATGGTTTGAATTTGTCCCTCCCCATCATGCTTCAGTGAGTATTGAAATGTACACACTGCTTGCACACTGCTATTTTCTATTCCCACTTTAAGTGCAAAATTTTGCATTGAAGCTTTAATATTAAAAGATAACATAAATGAAACTATTATGCCTATGGTCAGTCTAATTGAATCTTTTACCACAATTTGTACTTCAGTATTGACTTTGAAATAATCAGAATCATAAAAAGCATTTCAACACAGAATTTAGTGGAAAAGACTTCAATTTAAAAAAAAAAAGCAAGAAAGTTTCTTACGTTTAAGTTTTCGCTTGAGATTAGCCTTGTAGCTGCAATGAAACAAAATAAGTAAAATTATTTAAAAACAAAACCTTAAGCAGTGAAGCTGGAATGCCTATTTTTGCACATAGAAGTAATGCAAATATTTAGACATATAAATAAATACCAAGAAACAATGCTACAACTGTACATACAGTGCAGCCCACACTCAAAGACAGCAGCAGAAGTAGGACAATTTTTTTTTCTATCATGAAGGTACATGCTTTTGTAGCAGATGACCTAAAAGCACTGATGGTTTTATATGCTCCAGCATAATGTGTCACCTATAGGCTTGTGCAAATATTTGAGCACTCTGAATATTCGAATGAATATTACAGTACGCAAATTCAGTTCAATAGGAACTTATATTATCAAAAATTTTGAAGTACTATTCGAAATGAACAAATAGACGTGCATTAATCCACAGGCATAATCTTCTTGTAAAGGTTGTCTCACTGCAGTGGAGCAGTGCTGTATCACGAATACACCTATGCCTTCAGTTGCCCGCTCATAAAAGAAAGTTGTCTTTTTATCTGGTTGATTAGACGAGCTATGAGAATGATTTTATGGTTTTTCTTCGTCTATCACTTTTGGTTCTTCCTTTTTTGTTCCACTGCATCGGTATATATGCGTGGTTTGAAGAATAAAGTTTTTGTTGTAAGTCAGCACTCTGTATGTGTACTTCTTAGTCTGGTCTCTCGTTTTGCACGCTGTTTTTTTTTTTAAACTATGTCGTACCAACACAACCAAGCAACCTCTTTAGCAGCATATTACTCTCACATCGATTCATCATTTTGTAAAGTTAGAGGTTTGTTATATAACTTATATGCACTAAGTATACCAAGTTTTAAAATGCAACGTATTTTTAAGGTTATCACTTGCATTCTGCCAAAAGTCTAATCCTGCCACTATTCGAAGTTGCTTCGACTTCCTTTGAACCAATAAGAATGACGTTTGCACATGCCTTGTTTTCATTTTCAAAAACTATTGGGCAGGTTAGTTGGGTCATTTTTCTTTAAAATATGAGATATATACTGTTCGAGTCTGAATCGAAATTACTCGACTAAATCCGTATTCACTTCTAATTCACTTCAGACTTAAAATTTACTATTGGCACGAGCCTTGTCAACTGCTCTCCACCGGGCACCTTCGAATACAATGACCACAATGTGCCAGCTATGTGTTTGACTGCACCCTTTAAAGGTTAGTCCATACTGTACATGCAGCTTCATACAGGCTAAGGTAAGTCATAACTGATTAACTTACCTGGCACGAACAAAGCAAAGTATCACAGTCAAGATGAATCCCATCACAGCTATGAGACAGGCAACAATCAGGACACATATTTCAGTCCACCTCATTTGGTAGGGGTTCCTCCCTGGTGTACATTTCTGAGAACAGAGATGAATTAGAGAAGAACAAGGATAAGTTGTGCAACAGTTATGAAAGCTTAAAGGGCTTTAAAGAAAGGAAGAGAGTTATCACTCATGTGCACTGAACATTAAAGGGCCCTTCATAAGGTGTGGCAATAGCTAATAAATAATGCCCCTGACACACGGGCACCCTGAAGTCCTTTAGACAAGGGTACATCTTTCGGAAAGGCGTTCGGGCGCAGTGACACACGACAAAGGAGTAACTCCTTTCCGGCAAAGATCCTTTTCGCAAAAGCAGATCCCGCATCTACTTTTCTGGCAGGAAGGGAGTACTCTCGCATACAGTGTGCATAATTTATCAATAGAAGAAAACGTGTCGCAACACTGCGGTGCCCTGTCAGTATTTTTTTGCGCTGAGAAAATGTTTTCATTTTCAGCAGCAGTGCGATTTGTTGAAAAGTGAAGGCCTATAATCTGTCCATACTCTCAAACGTCTGCATTACGTCATTAGCGTGATCATGTTAGGGTTGGCAGCGGCAGTTGCTGTGTCGGCGACGTAGTATCGTGTAACAATGGAGTCGGCTAAAAAGGAAGGTGGCTGGGCTCACTCGAAAACACTGCTTAAAGTGGCCGATGCCTAATAACGACAATGTGTCTTCGAACCAGCGTTCGTTGCGCACATAGGCCCACCTTTCGCGGTTGATGGCTCGGGGGGACAGTGCGGAAGCAGTGAAAATGAAGCTGTTCATGACAAGTCTTTGTTTGAGGCTCATCACTCTTGCCTTCGCAGCGTTTAGCTCATCTTCGATAGAGCCGAGGGCGACAAGAGTCAGGTCCACCTCAACTGTTGCTTTATCTCTGTCTCTGCGCTGAGACATCGCAGGACCACGATGAAACGCGGCACGCCATCACTGACCCAGCTGGACGCAGCCATGTAAAAAGCACGACAAAAAAACGAAAAAAAACAGCAAAACACTGACTGTTCATAGTTGCCAGATGAACTTAAGTTGCTGTTAAACGCAAAAAAGCGAAAAGAAATTACAGGTATGCGCATTATAAGCCACCAGACAATGAAAAAAAAAAACGGTTTTATGCTCCGGTGTAGCTGAATGTGGTGTACATGCGCAGATTCTTTTTAATATTTCCAATCTTGCTGCTTCCATAAACAGCGCCTTTTTTTCTGCAGCGTTCTTCTGAGGCACCGCCTAAAGCAGTAGTCCGGTGCCGTGTGTCATCAGCGCCACTCCTTTCTGCAAATGGTCCCCTTAGGCGACAAAAGGGGTTTACTTCAAAGTACTTTACTTTTGCCCGTGTGTCACGGGTATAAGGGAGGCACCTATATGGTGTTGGTGATCAAGCAAGCGAATTATGAAATGGCTAGATGGTGCGAAAATGCTCAAAATTTCTAACAAAAAAGAATGCACATGCTACTCGAATACATAGCTGTGCTTTCAAGTGAGCTTTCAAGCCAAAGTCACACACACACGGAGTGGTTGGAACATCCCTGTCTGACAATGTGGAGTGCACAATGGCACTACTGGAATGAGGTAAAATAGAAACAGAAAAAAAAACAAGGTGAGCTTGTTGTGCGAACATGAAACTGTCGTGGGACTCAGCTGTATTATGCCACTTGTGAATGCTAGGCAAGCCCAAGAAGGAGAATGCCTTTGTTGACAGTGACACTCGCCTTCTGGCATCAAGCCAACAGGGTGACTTGATTTATCCCCAATTTCCACCAAAACAATTTCAAATGTTATTTTAATAAAGCACTGCTTACAATAAAATGCTCATTCCTATAAAATGGTGCTTCACAACCCAAACATTTAATGCTGCTTGCTGAGGGGCCTTAAAGGGTCCCTACAACACTTTTCCAAGTAATCGTCAAATGGCTTCATTGAAAGAGCTTATTGCCTCAAGAATCAACTGCTGCAAAAAAGAATTACAGGAATTTGTTGCATGCTTTGAGCCCCCCCCCCCTTTTTCTTTTTTTTTTTGGCCTCTTGTACCAGTGAGCGCGGTACAAGCTACGCAAGGAGTGACAGATAAGGGAGAAAGAAGATGCATCCCTTAGTGCGTGTTATGACCTTGAGCACTTTTATTTCTTCTTTCGGTTTCTTTGAGCACACGGCTTACTTTCGGTATGAACGTTGGCACAGGCACATGGCAGCATAACAGGGCAACCACACTGACTATGCAGCTCATGATGCTCAAATCAGCCAATGGTCGTGGACTTCAGGTTTACGGCACGGTCATTTGAATTTATGGCGTGATTTGTTGAGACAAGAGAGAATGATTTCTAGTTGAATTTGAATATTATTAAAAATTACAGGTTGCATGCTGTGCTATACTGTTTGGCTCGCATGTTTTCAGGAGCCTCAACTACTGAACAACGTTTTCTGACTACGCTAAAAGATTGTTACAGGGCCCCTTCAAGAACAAGACTGACAGTCAGTGATCAGCAGCAACACAGAGGGACCATTTGTGATCCTATAGCAACAGAAAAGCAGCCATATATAAAATGGCATGCTCTCTCTTTCTTCTTGTCCCAATAATTTTCCCTTTTCTGTAAGTGTTGTGCTTTTCTGAGATTTTTTGATAATAATATACTAGTGCATATTATGTATGTGTGGGTTATTCTAAGCAGTGCAAGAAAGGAAGCAGCAAAACATTTATAGTGCTCATCTTGAAGGGCTTCCTCAATTTCTCATCTTTTGTTTTTCATGATTACGTGAAAGACTAATGGAGGAGGGAAAAAAAAGGTAGTGCACAGTGGTACCCCATTCTAGTCTAGGCTAGTGACTTCTGAAAACGAATAAGGAAGAGATTTAAAGGGTTAATTATTTCTTTAGTTACTACCATTTGAAGCGAACAAGACAACTTTCTACAGGTGAGAGTTTTCCTCAAGTTTTCCACACTACACATGCAGCACTTTACCAATTAAGTCCCAGCGGTGACCACTATCCCATTCATCATTTTTAAAGAATTTATTGTCCTAGCATGCTCTGTTCTCTTTGTAGGCTTAACACAGATTTTTTTAAGCAAGCCAGTATAAATGGAGTTATCATACAAGATCAAGATAAGATAAGATAAGATAAGATCTCCTCTTATTGCTGCAAGCACGCTGGAAGATACATAGGTGGAACGGCAGTGGGGGGACGCACCACCCAAAAGTTACATTGCTGCATGTCATGGCCCTGGTACAGGGTGACACCCAGCAGTGATTGAGGTACCCATACAACATGACATGTGGCCTCTGAGGTTATTCATCAGCAGCTTAATAGCCAAAACTTAGTGTCCAGCAACAGAATATCACGACTGCTGGACCATTATAATGGCTAACAAAACAGAATAAGTGCAACTGGTAAGTTGGAATCACTCCATCACCGAGGCAGCTTTAGCTTGTTTTCATGCTCACCTCGATTCCCACAATACTGTAGTTGTGATAGAGTGCCTGAATCTTCTGTGATGCTGACATGTCCAACATTTTAGCGACGACATCAGGGCTCACCACTAGCCCATTTTCAAGAAGTTGGAAGCAGGAGCTGGCACTGAATAGGAGGAAAAAAATAAGATAGAAGTGAACCAATACAACTCAAATGTATCCAAACAAGCACCATATGGAAACTTTTCTAAAATATGCATATTGAAGAGTAATTTTCGTTCCTTCTTTCAGGAGTCTCTTAAAAGCATTGTGCCAAGCTTTCATTTCGTGATCAACCTCTGTTTCAACATGGGCATCCTATAAGTGAAATAACTACAAAGAAGCCTGTTGGAAATAGCAGATGTATATCATTTGTTTTGATATACCATTTTTTCTAACAGATTTATTCATGCACACAATTTGTTCTAACACTACAATAATCCTTTTAGTAAACTTTTTTTCCAAGCAACTGTCTCACTAGGCAGTCCAACAATAGACTTTTCTCTAAGTAAAAGATGAAATTAACTTTACTTGTATAATTTTTGTAGCAAATAGATGAAATGATTGTCAAACTGCAAGTGCCAAGGCAAAAGTTACTAGCGTTAACCTCGTGTATCTGGGATTGTAATTATAATACAGAACTGTGTTGGCAGCACCACTATCGAGGCAAAAGCACAGGAGAGTGACAAATGGGACTTCAACTGAAGAATGACTGAAACTTGTTGGTATTTTTATTAATATTTTATTTAGGAACTTCAACAACACTAACCTTTCAAAATCAAGGCTTCCATCTTCTCGTGTTGAATATTGAGTGTCATATATGTTGGCAGTCACAGCACTGGCAAGTGCATGATTTAAATCCCTATGAAAAGAGAGATGAAATTGAATTCCACACATTTCTGAAGCAAATAAAGACAGATCTTCTACTGTAAGCTTAAAAATGATAAAATTGTGTGTCCACACAAACAACACTAATGTACAGCACAGCTAAAAAAATATGTATACAATATACTTTGGCCTGCCAAATGCATTGTGAAAATGTTGGCATCACGTTAAGAAGCACAGAGCAATACTCAGCGTGATATATGTCCAACCATGTTGCTGTAGGGATATCTTATAAAAGCCAACATTTTTATGAGAATTGCAAAGGGAGTAAAAAGAAGAGGAACTGAATTTTCATTGCTTACATTCAGTGCAGCCTAGATACTTAAAATTAATCTGCAGCCATTTCATTCTGACAACTTTAAAGTTACTGTCTGTATTGTGTCTAACACAGAAAAACGAGCCCTTAAAATTTCCACTTCTTTCCTTCATTCATATCGCGAGGGTCTCATTTTGGCAGACTTAATGCTTTCAAAAAATATGCTTGGTATTATTGATCAGCGGCCAGCTCGTAATGATATCACGTGCTTACACGTGCTCACGTGCTATCACACCAACAGGCAGAACAAGAGTGTTCCACACTTGCCGTCATGGATACTGGCGGCGCTGACTGATGCTCCCTTGTTCAAATGCACATATACACCTCACAAAGTGGACAAGGGTATGGCCGCCATGGTAGTTATGTTGGCCGAGCATCAGACGCGTTATTCGAAGGTTGCAGGTTTGGTCCCTACCCACGGCAAGTTATCTTTTCGTCCACTCTCTTTTCTTCCCATTTACATTACGTTTACTACTAAAAAACATCCCCTATACTTTCTCGGCTGTCTTGTCTATTAGTTCCCATTACCATAACAAAGCTAAGAGGGCTTAACATGTAAGTGCTGATGTACATTCAATGCTTACATCACATACTCTGGCATATAGTTAAAAACGGTATGTTTTTACCTCCCTTTGGTTATAAAGTGTCAATACAGCAATATTAAATTACATTCATTCAAATAGCCTTAGACAGCTGATGTTACCAGTGGTACTTGTTATCATAAAAAAAATGCATGCTAGAACATTCACTCTTAGCTAAGGTCTACAATCCTCAAACAGAGGCACCAGAGTTATTGACAAAAAGAACAAATACTTTGATCTAATAACTGTAACTTGACAGTCTTCACAATATTAATGAAATGCCTAAATAATACATCTAAGAAAAGATTAACAAGATTGCTCACTTTGTGAAACACACGACATAACTGCATGCTTTACATAAAGCGCTAAAATGAAGCATAGAATTTAAAAGGTCAACTTACTTTTCAAACTGCGGTACAACTTTCCTGATCTCTTGTGGTTGTTTATAAAAGATAAACTTCATCAGGTCTGAATCATGAAGTATGTGAACCTAGTAGAAGAACAAAGAAGAAAAAGTATTCACTCACAAAATGAACAAAATCCATTCTTTCTCATATTAAAGAATTTTCCTCAGTTTCTCTGAGTAAACAGATGTGACTAAGGCACTGATATGAACTTAAGTAGTCTACAAAAAGTTTGTAGAAAAAAAAATGAAAAGACCATGAGTGGCATTTGCTGGGTCTGACAGCAAGAACGATCAAATAAAACTTATAGAATCTGAACAAGACAAGAAAATAGGTACATATACATACATAGCAGTGCCTAAAGTGAGCTTTATGTGCTCGAAGCTATTGTGGCCATGGGAAAATATGTATGTCACCATGCACTAGAGTGGAACTTCTTGTGTATTATGTCACAATCAAAAGGATACTGAACAAACACCGGAAAAACTAATAAAAACACCGAAATTCTACTTATGAGATGCCACTGTTCCGATAAACCTAGTTAATTTCTCATATTTTTGAACAGTTGCCTGTATTTTTGGTGGACTGTCAGTGCGTGGCGGCTGCACCTTGAGCCCAAGCCGTGACGTCACATTCTCCCAAGCATGTAGGCTCCCCGGCGCATGCAGGGTACATATGTTCCTGTCTGTCTCTTTCTTTTCTCCTTCTCACCTTTCATCCCACTCGCCCCCTGCACTGACACTTTACTCGAGCTGGAAGTATTGTTCACTGCTGTAGTTGTTCTGAGAACCTTAGTGGGTTGAAATGAGGGCGACGGCTGGCATTGTTTGAATGCCTGTTTTCAGCGAAGGTAATGTCACCTCCTCTAGTTCAAAGCGCAGCCGCTAGACATGACGGTTTGTAAAAAACTCACTAAATTTATTATTTTTCTCTAGTTCTAGTTTCTGCTCGAAATGAACGTTGTTTCAAAACCCAATTCACCCACCCATGACAAAAGTTTTGTTCAGTATCCCTTTAAGGTTTGTGGAGCAACATGCTGTGTAGAAAGAGATGTGTGAATCAAGAGTACATTTATTTCAACCCTTTGTATTTATGGTATATTTAAATGTTGTTCCTATAATATACTAACTATAGAAAGCTGATAGCTTTTTGGTTAAAAGTAAACTTCCACAGTTTTTTTTTACTAATAGTAGTAATAATTGTTGATATTCTATGTCCCAAAACCACACTAAGATTATGAGAGATGCTGTAGTAGATGCTCTGGAAATTTCTACCATCTCATGCACACCTAAATTGAAATAAACAAGCCTCTGGGATTTTGGCCGCATTTTCAATGCGGCCATGATTATGATTCGATCCTGTGACCTTTGGGTTAGCAGTCGAGCACCATAATCAACAGAACACCATGGCGGCAATTTTTTTTTACCATGTAAACAGTAATAATGTTTCTGTGTTTATCAGATGTTTCTGTCACATGTCTGATGGTAGAAATGCTCAACAAAATCAAAAATAATTTTAATTAAGGGAAAATGGGCAATACTGAAACCAAAACTCAGCCAAGCAGTACTGTCTCCATGTGACCTGTGTGATTTATTAAGGGGCACAAACCGAACATTTCACAAGACATGCTCATCGGGCCCATGTGGAGGATGAAAGTGAAAAGCAGGCGCTCAATAGAAACGTGACAATGCCATGGCATTCTTGGTATGTCTCTGGTTGAAAAGAGTCTTTAGCAGTTCTGGTTTAGTGTGTGGTAATATGTATAGTACTGGCTGAAAATTGAGCATGTGCAAACTTTTCATATAATAGCCCTTTGCTTGATGTATACCCGCACTAACCATGGAGAGTAAGCTGCGCATTGTGCGAAAGGTATTTCAAGGCACAAGGAAAGGTATATCTCGAGCGCCTTGGTGATTTCCACAACAATTCGGGAGGTTGTTTCTTTTAGTATACAAATCTCCATGAAATCAAAAGTATAAACACGGCACCTTTCTTTTAATATGCGACAAAGAAGCCCGAAAGTAGAGAAAGACAGAGAATGTACAAGTATAAAAAGATAATGTGAAGAAAAAAAAACCCTATTTGGTCCTAAATGTTACTTACCCGCACATGCGTTACAGCAGTATTCTGGGGACCAGGGGCACTTTGGCACTCAACAGTTATGTCAAAATATCCATCTCTGTATTTACCCAGGCTTCGTACATTTCTAAGGATACCTTTGTGGGCATCAAGTTCAAACTGACCCATCACAGGCATTGACTCTTTTGACGATGGCTGAAAAAGAATTATTCAGAAAAGATTCAGTTTAGTTGAGTCTAAAGCTATTGTACAAAAGCATGTGTATTGCAAAAGAAAAAAAACGCTTTGGAAGATATTAACTCAATTGCATAAAATTACAAAACAAAAGTAAAAGTTCAGTTCTTTCTTAAATTTGAAGAGAGACAGATAAACCCAGAAAAAGTTGAGGCAACCCCCTAGTGAAGTGACGGGTTCCAAAGGACCGGTGAAAGAACAAGGAAGGGCAAATGAGACAAACACAAAACGAGAAAAGAATAGATTAAGCTAATGTGGAATGAATAGATGTAAGAGAATTTGAAAATGCATTTGTATTGCAGTGGGCTTGATAAAGCTGCTAAAACACAAATGACAAGAAAATTAAAGCGACCCAAACTAAAATGAAAATACAAACGTGTCTACTCTTTAAAACCAATTGCTATAACTGCAGTCAATTCTCATCAATTTAAACTCAAACAGACCTCTGAATTTTGTTTGAATTATCAAAAAGCTTAAATTATCAGGACTTCTCAGATATCACCATGTGTTAGGCCATAGCACACATTATGATGAGGCATTGATTTTATTAGATTTACAAATTTTTAAGCATTTTAAATCCGAACTGCATGCAATGAACAGAATGCAGAGGTGTAAAGTCCACAAGTTTATTGGCCATTTACTGCTGATCAGAGCTTTTGAAGAAATTGTTAATTGCCAACTGCTTCTTTGCTATACAGTAGACTCTCGTAAAACGGAACCTGAAAAGACCAGGAAAATGTGTTCCGTTTTGTAATAGGAGTTCCATTTAACAAGAGATGAACAAGGATGGAAACTCCAAGTAAGAAAGCAATTGTGCTGGAAGCAGTTGTTCCATTTGAGCAGCAGTTCTGTTTAACAGATTTCTGTTCAGCGAGAGTTTATTATATGTACCTTCTGCACAAAGCTCTCTATACCAGTTGATAAGCATCATGGTTTACCATGTGTGTGTGTGTGTGTGTGTGTGCTTCATTTAAAACATTTGTTTACTAGCAAATTTTTTTTCCTTGAATGCCTGATGTGCTTATTTTTAATTTTTAGAGTGTTAAGACTATATAAGAACACAAATTTTTAAATAGTAGTGGGAAAACAGCAGATAATTTCTGGTATGAAACCACAAAAAGTCTGAATTAATCGAATGACAAAGTTTGAATTAAGAGGCTTTCAAATATACTGAAAGAATAGAGGGCCAACTAAAAAGTTGAATTTTGTTTGAATAAACCAAAAGTATGAATTATCAGTTTGAATTATTGCAATGTTATTGTAGTCTACTAATTCGTTATATTACAATATCGCAGCAATACCAGAAAACCAAGAAACAATGAAATCAAGGAACATAAGGTAAATTACCTATTATGACAGAAATTATGACATTTATAGGGGTGATCATCACTGAGCTCAAGAACTACCAAATACATTAGGTGTGATGTGTCAAACCAGTGTACAGTAAATGCTTCTACACATATGGCAAAAAGTAGGGGTGTTCAAATAGTGAAATTTTCTTATTAGAATATTAAAAAAACACTATTTAAATTTTACTTAAACTTTTTACACAAAGTTAAACATGATATGAAAAAAATTCATGGAGTGCACATGACAAGTCATTTTTTGCATAATTTCAAAAACTAATTGCATGAAGAATTAGTTGTCAGGTCAACTGAAAAGCTTGCAAGAGACATAGGTGATTGTACCTGGTGTTCTATGAAAGTAACAACAAAAAAACAGCACATAGCCAGATGCATATAATACAGTGCAGCATTTTTTAAAGCGAATAATTGATCGCTCTCCTACAGGTATTCAATTGGAACTTGGTTCTACTATACAACTGTTAGTTTCCTGTGGCACATTCATTCCAAGAAGACTCCATTTACGTCATCCTTCCCTAGTACCAACAAGTGTTGTTTCTCAAAATTTTCAACATTAAGCAGCACTGAAGACGGACTTCGGCAGGATTTTGTCTTGGGTGGTGCAACCACGTGTTTTATAATGACTGAGCAAGAAAAAGCAGGTATAGGTTGGGCAAGAGGCAAGTGTCAGTGTGGCTTGAGGGGGGGCAAGTGCCCTTCAAACAACCCCCTGCTGATACCCATTGAATATATAAATCAAATGACAAGGATTATCATATTTTTACTGGAACTTTGGCATACTTGTACGTTCTTGCAAGAAAAAAGGCAGTTTCAAGAAAAAAAAAAGAATTAACCGACTGAAAATACAAGATCGAGTTCATACATAAAACTAAAAACCACCTTGATTTAAACTCGGGAATGTAAGAGAATAAAAATACATTGTACAGATATTTTGTAATTTAAGCAAACTGCAGTGTTTTAATATCTTCATGCTGTAAATCTGGTGAACATTATATGTAAACAAATGCAATAATTCAATTTGCAGAAGTGAAATAAAATGCTTGGAATGGCACAACCCTGATGCACACTCCTGCATGTAATCGTCGTAGACAATGCACGTTTCAAATACACGATGGATGAGAAACAAGCCAGTAATGCCTACAAACGTGGTATTAATAAATCTAGTGAGAAATGCACTATGTATTAACATTTCGCAGAATTGCCGATTCGGCATCGTTGGTTGTGAGCAAAAAATTATCATCTTATACGTGAGAGAAAAATCGAGAACGATGCATGAACTCGGGTCGTCAGCGTGGCAAGCGTATGTTCTATCACACAGCTACGTGTCTGCTTGTGAATACAATCGAAATAACTTCCTCTGCTTGAGAATGCAGTGAAAGTAACTTTAATGCTTTACAAACACATGCATCCTATATACATGCTTCAAAATACAACAGGAAATATTGCAGCAATAATGCATGGTACAAGTGCTCATTGCCAGCAGGTGTCAGAACATAATGTTAACATAATGACTTCGTGGTTTAAAGCCAGTCACCCACTACAAAATGCACACATGCTACTGCACCTATTTCCTAAAGGCCACGTAGTGGGTGCATAGCAAGTTCGAAAAGGTCCTGTTCGAAAAGGTTTGTGTTGAACACGCTATTGTGTTCAACACTTAAAGACAAAGTTTTAAGGTCCTATAATTTTCTTTCTTTCAGCATATACAAAGTAACACTTAAAGAAAGCCATAGGGGTACTCACTCGGTAGTATGTAACATTCCGGATCGAGTACATTATCATGTTTGATGAACTGTCCGGGTCTTTTGCTTTCAGTGTGATCAGCTCACTGTTAATCTCAGAATTGATTCGTATACCTGCAAGGAAAATTGTAAAGACGATTCTTCATTATGACAAAAATTCATAATGTCAATAGTTAGATAAAAATAACAAAAGTACTAGTGCAAAATTGTTTCATAGCATTTCAAAAATCTCATATATGGCAATCCTATGCAACCATGAACATCAAAAAATAATAAAAAAACAAGCACATCATAAGACAAGACAACCTAAAGACTGTGCATGCAATGCCAGCCCCAGATGCTTCCCTAGTGGGCCGATTCAAACATCAAAGGTCATTGGCTTGCCCGTTGGAGTGACTGTACACATTTTCAGAGTGTGTGCTGCCAGTGATGGTGTTCGCATCATGTCAAACGTAGCCCCATCACCCAGAAAGCTTGGTTCACACCATTATTATGTTTCACAGCGCCACAACAGTCTTGAAAATGTGAATCATCATAATGTGTCTGAGAAACAACATATTCCAGAGCAACTTGCAGACAAAACAAGCACCAAGCAGGGCACCTCTTTTTCATAATTGTCGTATGGTATATCTTATAGTCTGCACACAGCAATAAAGTTTAGTTGTCTTGTCACATATGATCACTCTCATTCAATATTTTCAGGAAGAAGCCCGTTGATGTAAGAAAATATTTTGTGGATGAGTACACCGCCACATTTTGCAAATGACTGTGATTGCGTATTCTGCAATGGTAAAGTGAAGGAAACCTGACTGATGCTTTTTGAGAGCATTACTGTAGTCTGTGAGCCTTGAAGCTTCTATATGACACTAATGCATAGAAGTTTACTTGCACCTATGCAATTGTAATGTTTGTTAATACAACTTCGGTTTATTATTATTCATTTATTTGTTTGTTCGAACATGCTACTAACCTCCCATTTAAGGCTGTTGCAGGAAGGGGGTAAGATACATACTATTCAAAAGAACCCAGTTTAAATAAGGCCTCATAGACCCCTCGAAGTCTATGTAGTAATTGTTTTGTAGTGAGGCTAACCAATGAAGTCAGCAGATTGTGTAACCTACTCAAGCAACCCTGCATTTACCCGATCAGAAAACCATGTATATGTGTGTGTGTGTGTGTGTGTGTGTGTGTGTGTGTGTGTGTGTGTGTGTGTGTGTGTGTGTGTATATATATATATATATATATATATATATATATATATATCATAGTAACGTCAGGTCAGTTAGGTTCGTCCTGTGGTTGGGTTCGTGATGGCAATAAAAGTGCATTGCCGATACTGCCTGGTGCCCCACTGCAACTCATTCGACCCAGGCTATTTAACACTGGAGACAAGGATGGGATTGACAGAAAGTCAACAGACGTGACGGTGCCGTAAAGAAAAGCTAGCCCCGGTGCATATTAGTCTCGATGACGGATAATACTGCAGTTGGGATCGAGGCAGATGGGATCGAGAATTGCGCGCCCGGAAGAATGAGAGGACTACGTGAAAGACTTCAAATTCTTCTTGGAGGCACAGAGCATTACTGACACTGCCAAGAAGAGGGCAGCATCATCCGAAGCTGATGGCCAGAACCATCGTGCCAAGAACGCCCTTGCACAAACATGCCGTACTGCAACTACTTGGCGGTGACTGCTATCAACGCAGTGTCTCAGCCTGCCACGAAGGAAGTAGAATGTAGACACCAGAATCGAAGGCACACAGAGCCAGATGAAAGTGGACTCAGAATCAACCTATTCAATTATCTCCGACGCCACAGCCAGACGTCTTTTCCTACGGGGCGTGTCCCAAATATACAGCCACTTGACTATCATCATGAGAGACTACCAAGACAACCGCATCGCAGTACAGGGAATCGGTACTGTGCGAGTGCAGTTTAAAGATTTTGACGGCCAGTTGTGCATTCTCATTGTCAAGAAGAAGTGCCCAAGTCTTCTCGGGCTTGATTGGTTTCCCGCACTCGGGATTGATATTACGAGAATCCAACACATTGACCAACTGCCATCATCACTTGATAGCATATTCAAACACTTTGTTTGACAGGACACTAGGCTGTTACAAGGAACCGCCTGTGCATTTTGCACTTAACCCCGATGTTGTCCCTATCCACCTAAAAGCAAGGAGGGTTTCTTTTGCACTTTGGCCAAAAATTGATGCCGAACTAGACAAACTGGTACAGCAGGAAATCCTGGAGCCAGCTAATCATGCTCGTTGGGAAACCCCCATTGTTATGCCACTGAAGGCAAATAGAGATGTCTGCATCTGTGCAGGCTATTAAGTGCACAATTAACAAAGCCTTGCAGCAGCACTCATATACCGTGCCAGCGGTCAGCCACCTGCTGGCATCCCTCTATAGTGGAACTGTTTTTGCAAAACTCGACTTGGCACAGGCCTACCAGCCTGTCACTGATGAATCTGCACACGCTCAGACCATTGTGACTCATTGGGGTACTTTTCATGTTCGACGACTACGATTTGGTGTCAGTGTTGCACCTGGCATTTTCCAGAGCTTAATGAGAACTTCCTTCAGCGACTACCAGGTGTCATTCCATATTTTGACGACAACCTCCTTTTAGGATCCTCACACTAGGGATTGCTCAGCTGCCTTTGGGAGGTCCTTCAGTGATTTCAGGATGCAGGGCTCAAGATAAAAAAAAAAAAAAATGCCAGCTAGGAGTGACTCTAGTGGAATTTTGGGGTTTCGGTGTAGATGCTGAAGGTATCCATCCAATATAGGCCAAGACGCAAGCCATCCTTAATGCACCACGGCCTTTGAACAAAGCCACGCTGCAGGCCTTCCTGGGTCTTCTCATATTTTATCATGTGTTTTTGCCACACAAGGCTACCATTGCAGAACCCTTGCACCGGTTGTTGGATAAGAAGGTGCCCTGGGTGTGGGAGAGCCCACAAAAGATAGCGTTTGGCCATGTGAAGAAATTGCTAGCGTCAAACCAGGTGTTAACACATTTTCACGAGAAGCCCATGATTCTTGCCTATGACGCCTTTCCATATGGAATAGGAGCAGTGTTGAGCCACAAAATGCCAGATGGCAGAGAAGCACCCATTGCTTTTTATTCAAGGACCTTATCCTCTGCCGAGCGGAATTGCGCCCAGACAGATAAAGCAGCACTGTGGTTGCAGGAGTAAAGAAAGAAGTTCCATGACTATGTATTTGACTGCCCATTCCAGATCTACACAGACCATAAGCCGCTCCTTGGGTTGTTTACGTCGGACCGGCAAACTCCGCAGATGCTTTCGCCACAAATGCTGCGGTAGTCCATCTTTATGAATGGATATCAACATACTCTCCTCCACCGGCCGGAGAAACAGATAAGCCACGCAGATGGTATCAGCAGACTTTCCCTAATGCATCAGTGCCAGTATGACTCTTCTCCAGCTGAGGTAGTGATACTTCTGGATGAACTTCCAGAATATCCTGTCCATGCAGATGATGTGGCTCAATACTCTGCCAAGGATGGTATTCTTTCTTGTGTCCTCAACTGGGTGTGGAGGGGGTGGCCAAGGTGTACTCCAAGTTATGAATTCACATCGTTTGTGTCTAGGCAATCTAGGCAACATGACCTGTCCGCTCACAAGGGATGTTTACTGTGGGGTAATCATGTGGTGATTCCTCGGAGGTTGCGTGTCTGTGTCCGTGAAGCCTTGCACGCTGGTCATCCTGAGTTCGTCAGGATGAAGGCACTTGCCCGCAGCTATGTGTTGTGGCCGGGAATAGATGCAGCCATTGAGGAACGGGTCTGGCAGTGCCTTGCCTGCCAGAAAACACGACCGGAGATGCCCTGGGCACCAGTTCACTCTTGGGAGACGACCCGGACTCCATGGTCGCGCTTGCACATTGACTTCGCTGGCCCCTCCAAAGGACAGACCTTGATTGTCGTCGATTCTTATTCCAAACGGCTTGACGTCATACCAATGCTGTCAATGAGATCAAATGCTGTAATCAGAGCCTTACAGAAGTTGTTCGCAACACACGGCCTGCCAGATACACTGGTATCAGACAACGGGGCCCAATTCGCATCTGCAGAATTTCGAGGTTTCCCAGTTGGCAATCTCCTTCGCCACGTAATGTCTGCACCGTTCCATCCATTCATGAATGGGCAGGCTGAGAGGATGGTACGAACTACCAAGACGGCACTATCTTGAATAATTCAAGGGAGCTAGGGCCGGCGCCTGGCAGAGTTCACTCTTTAGCAGCATGTGACTCCACACACTGCCACGGGACGCTCCCCGTCCGAGTTACTGATGGGCCGCTGACTGTCTATCATGCTAGACCGACTGCACCCAGAGCGAGCCCGGGAAAGGACCCCACAACTCACAGAAGCTCTGCCTGCACCACAGATCACAAATGTTCCAGCCAGAGGACCCTGTCTTTGCACAGAACTAAGGTTAGTAAGAAACTAAGGTTAGTAAGTAAGAACTAACCCACCACGAGTCTCGGCCATGATCTCATATGAAGTTGTTCTTCCAGACGGCCACGTGCATCGCCGGCACGTGAAGCAGCTTCGTTAGCGGAGCAGTTCGCCAATCAGGGTAACAGAGACTGACCCTGAAGAACAGCCTGCAGCCCGGCCTGTTTCAAGCCCGTCATGTGGCGAAGCTAGCAGGAGCGAGAGGGAAGACCACAGGGAACCCGAGGAGCTACCGGCAGCCATGCTGCCCACGGATGATGTAGCAACACCTCAGGCAGCACCACCGAGGAGTGCAGGGCTGCAAGGTCCACGCCACTCATAGCATCCCCGGTAAACACCCCATCTTTGGGACTTTGTGCTCACGTTGGCTGACCGTTGAGTTGTCCGAACTAAGGGAGGAGGGGGGCTGTGTAGTAAGGCGAGCCGCTGAAATCAGCAGACTGTGTAACCTGCTCAAGCAACCCTCTATTTAACCGATCATGCAACCCTGTATATATATATATAGCATTGTAATGCCAGTTAGGTTTGTCTTGTGTTTGGGTTCGTGATGGCAATAAAAGTGCATTGTCGATACCACCCGGTGCCTACGCTGCCACCTCATTCCACCCACGCTATTTAACACTAAT